TTCAACACTTTAAAAAGGTCTTGTGCAGCAGATTTACCTAATGCAATATGTCATTTGATTTCTTGACTGCTGCTTCTGTGAGTGTTGATAGTTGATCCAAGAAGAATGAAGTCGTTGACAACTTCAGTCTTTTCTCCATTGATAAGCATGTTGTTTATTGGTCCAGTGATGAGGATTTTTGTTTTCTTTACGTTGAGATGTAACCTATACCGAAGACTGTGCTCTTTGATCTTCACCAGAAAGCCTCACCTTTCTCCCGCAGAACAACTGGTAGTTTCGAACTGCTGACCTTGTGGTTTGCAGACCGATTCGTAACCACCACACTACCAGAGCTCCTTGGTACCTGGTGGTACTGTATTTTTCTTTACATAAGATGGAAATTAATAATGTTGATCTTCCAAGACTGGTAGTGAAGTGGTTTTGTAAGATAAACTCTGGGTTGCGAAACATAAGGTTGGTGCTTTGAGTCCAGCAGCCACTGCATAGGAGAAAGATGAAGCTTTCTGCTCCTGCAAAGATTTATAGCCTGGGAAGCCCTATACAGAGTTACTATCAGTCAGAATCAACTCAACGTCACCTAACAACAACAATATTCAAAGACACTCTTTTAACATGAGGAAAAATTACATATTATATTTCTCATTTACTAGTACGGGTTCTATAAGAATAAATGATCGGTTTTATGAAAACTATGAACTAATACAGCTCTGGGAAGTAGATAAAAATGGCCATACCTGCTTTGGTTTAAAGAGAAAATAAGACACAGACCAAAATGTAACATGATTTGTCTAAGCAAGGAGCAAGTAAAGCACAGCTAAAATTAATTTTTAATTTACTCTTTCCAATAAGTTAAAGTGCTCTGTTAAAAAATGTTCAGATCATCGAAAATGAAGATATGAATAATCAAATAATTTACCTGTTAATTTCTGTTCATTAGGTCCAATCCAGACATAGGTGGGGTCCACTGTTTCTTTTTTAGCATGTTTAAAATCCATACAGACAAGAACTGGGCTACTTTGATGTAATTTGACATATATTTTCACTGTGACAAAAATAATACATAACTATACTATATAGTAAAACTAAGAAACATGCTTCCTGCCACTTTCCCCAGTTATTCCAGATAGTTTTTTTAGACCTCTTTTAAAAACCAGCTATATCATTATCATTTAGAACAATAATCTAAAGTCAGTTTTGCTTCTCATGGTAAGGTTTAAAAATGCTAGATGCTAGATAATGTCACTTTTCTCCTTTTTACTGTGATCCTTTTTTTCTCCTTTTTATTGGAGTCCTCGTTTGGCACTGCAGGTTCATGTACTGGACTGAAAGGCCAGTTTGAACTGCAAGATTGGTGGTTCAAGCTCACCAGCCACTCGTTGGGAACTTTATACAGGGTCACTATGAGGCTGAACTGACTTGAGGCACTTAACAACTGTGATGTATTTTGATTGTTTATAAAAATGTACATGATACATTTAGAAAGTGACTTTAATGTATAGATTCAGAACTCACTTGAATAATTTTTTAAAGGGTTAGTGGAATCAATTTTAAGGAGGGTCAGAAAAAGACTTGGACTTGTTAGCTGCTAAAGTATTTAAAAATGACCATTGTCATGCCTTTGAGGAATTTGCTATTTAGCTATACAGTTTCTCTGTTCAAAAGCCTCTGTGGGGAAATACTAGATGTTAGTTTTTGAAATGACCTTTCCTGTTATATTTGGTGGGAGCAGCAGTAAGTATGCTTGGAAAGCGGTTCCACAAGACCGTGATTTTTAAAGCCAAATGTGCTGGATGTAAAGTTGGTTTGAACCGCAAGGTCGGTGATTCAAGCTCACCAGTCACTCCTTAGAAACTCTATACAAGGTCGCCATGAGTCGGAATCGACTCCACGGCACTTATCAACAACTTAATAGCAGACACCGTCCTACAATCTACGGTGGGCATCTCTCATGAATTAGCTCAAAGTTATCTAGGAACACAGTGGAGAGACTGGTTGTCCTTGGGAAGTGTGGGAACGTTTCATTTGCTGATAAGTGGCATCTGAGTGGAGTTTTAAAGGTTCAGGAGGCGTTCTCCCAGCGAATACAGGGAGGGACAACAGCATTGCAAATGGAGGACCTTCCAGACTTGGAAATCACGCCTCTGCACTTGGCCTGGCACTTGGCAAAGCAGCCAAGAACCCTAGATGGGAGGTGGCATCAGAGAAGACATCTGGAAGGCACCCAAGCTCCTTACAAGATACACTTAAGACGGAGGCTCCTGGGAGACAGCATTCGGAACTGCAATAGGGGTTCAAAAAACGTTCACACCCTCGACGGAAGAACCTTGGGTCCGTGGCATCCCTGGCTCTTCCAAGAGGCTCTGCGTGTGAAGAGATCCTTATTACCTGGGTTTCCTGATGTGCCATAAATGAAGCCTTTCTTATTTTGTAAGGCAGAACGCTGCCATCCAACTGCGAAGGAAAGAAACCACTGACTTTTTAGGTAGAAGAGGAGTCAGGGCTCAGAGTGGGGCAGGGCGCGGCGAAGTGGAGAAGGCAGGACAGGGAAAGTCGGAATGAGGGAAGAGGCCAGGGCCCGAGGCCTGGGGACTGGGCGGGAGGAGCCCCACCTCCTGAGAGGTACCAGAGCACCGCGGAGAGGAGGACCCACGCTCGCATCATGGTTTAGCGACTAGTGTCTCGGGAGGTGTCGAGGGGTAGACGCCTTCCTACCGCAACCCCTGCCAAACGTCTCCCCATTTCTCCCTGACAGAGCTGAGCAAACTGCCAGGGGGTCAGCTCCCCCACAAGTCCCTCGCTACCGTGGGAGCGAACGCGCCAGAGAGCGCATGCGTGCTGCGGAGAGGGAGGGGGGCGAGGATTCGCGAGCGCAGGGGCGGGGCGCGAACAGCCTAAGCTGTCACGTGGCTGCCTTCGTGCAGCAGCTTCGCACCTCCGATGTGGAGCCATTTTCTTGCGCTCTTGGCGTTTTAAGATCTGTGAGCGAATTATTAGTTCTCAAGGGACAAAAACCAGTAAAGGAAACTAACCCAAGGATTCAGGGACTTGCATAGTCTGAAGGAATCTTCAAGAGGGACACTGTCCTAAGTAGGGCGGTTTGTTGTTGTTGTTGTCAGGTGGCATCGAGTCGGAACCAACTCATAGCTACCCTATGCACAGCAGAACGAAACAATGTCCGATCCTGGGCCAACCTCATTACCGCTGCCACACAAAGTAGGGCGTTAGGGTAGGGGAATACGATTTGTTTAGGCCTGAGAAGGAGAGATGCTCGTGACAATTTCCTCCTAGTGAAGCAGAGCCCTGTGTGGGGATTTTCTATGCCTTTATTCTCACGAACTTGGTCTGAAACTAGGCTGGATCTTTTTCAAACTCTCATACTCAATTTTTACCTGGCAATTCTATCCACAAAACCAAGAACCCAAAGAACCACTAGTGTTCTGATAAGGCATCTCCAGGGTTTTCTACTTCAGAGGAACTTTCAGTCTTCATTTTCAGTGTCAAATATGAGACAATGTTGAGAGACACCCTCCCCCCTCCCCCCCAATTGAAAGTCAAGAAGACTAGGATCTGCTTTTTTCTGTAGAGTTGGGAGATTGGCTAAGATTAGAGATCTCTAACACAGATCATGCCGTGTCTTTAGTGGTTCCTTCTGGGCTGTGAGCTGGGTGGTCTGGAACTCCCCATGAGCTGTCTAGTTCCTAGCAAAAGTACACCCCCAGTCGTGGCTTTCAGAAGGATAGTAAGTAGAGAGCCTGAGGTTCAGACAGTGCTAAACCGGAATGATTATTTGAGGTGAGATCAAGGATTTTCAGTTTTATTTCCTTTGACCCGAGTCAGTCCTTGGACTCTCTGAGATGGTCTAGGAGCAGCCTTTGTCAGTGATTTCATTTTTAGTCATTGTTAATTTCATCTATCTGCCATCAGTATTGAAATTTGGTTCAATGAGTCAGATCCAGCCATCGCGGGTTACTGGGTCTAGATTCATGGTTTAGTTTCAACTGTTCTCTTCTTAAGATGATGATAATGAAGCCAAATTTAGGCAATATCATCCATTCTCTTAAAAGCGTGTCATTCCACTTTTACCCAAAGTATAAGGTCACAGTGTGTTTCATTATCTTCCTACTTAATAGAAGTAATTTATCCTTGTGATTTCTGGGTGATAAACTTCTAATCGTATGAGCAAAGACTTGACTGAAAGAGTAGTAGTTGTCTTTTGAAAGCAGATATTCCATATTACCCATCTATTTTTTTTAAAAAAATTAACTATTTTAGAATAGTATTAGATTTACAGAAAAATGGCAAGGGAGTACAGACAGTTCCTATCAACTCCATACCAAATTTTCCCTATTACTGACTTTTTGTATGGTACAATTCTCTCATGAATCAATATTGATACATTATTACTAACTAAACTCCATACTTTGCTCAGATTTCCTTAGTTTTTAAAATCTGATGTCCTTTTTATAATCCAATAATCCTACCCATTACATTTAATCTTGTTTCCTAGGTTCTTCTTGACTGACATTTTCTCAGACATTAAAAAAAAAACACACACACACATTTTTTTTTTTTTTAGGTGAATCTTACACTATTCTTGTATTTGATGACCTTGACAATTTTGAGTAATACCGGTCAGTATTTTGTAAAATGTCTCTCTATTGGAATTTGTGTGATTCCCCGTCCACCCATCAGTTGGAATAGACTCCACAGCATTTAACATGATTAGACTAGGGCTATGGGTTTATTTTGGAGTCTTGATGTGACATTGTAGGATAAGCCCTAGATTGCTTATTGCAATATCTGTGATTCAAACCCACCAGCCACTCCTTGGAAACCCTATAGAGAGCCACTATGAATTGAAAAGGACTCAATGGCACTTAACCATGGGTTTGGGGGGAGGAGGAGCAGAGAGGCAAAGTGGCATTCAAATCATGTTAATCATGACACTACTGTTGGTGTTGACATCCGGTCACCTGGCTGTGATCATTTGTCAGGTTTCTCCATTGTAAAGTTACTCTCCCTGCCCCCTCCCCCTGCTTTTCATGCTGTGCTCTTTGGAAGGGCATCACTTTGTGTGGCCCACACTTAAGGAGTAAGAAATTATTATACCTCCTTGAGGGTGGAGTTGTTGTTGTTAAGTGCTGTGGAGTAGGTACTGATTCATAGTGACCTTGTATAGGTTTTCTAAGGCTGTAAATATTTGTAGGAGCAGTACATCTTTCTCCTGTAGAGTGGGCTGGTAGAGTTGAACTGCTGACCTGTGATTCACAGTCCAATATTTATCCTACAGAGCTACCATGCTCCCTTGAGGGGGGAGTAGATACATAAATTATTTTACTTATCTACTTTATTTTTAAGGAGCTCTGGTAGCGGAGTGGTTACAAGTTGGGCTGCTAACCTCAAGGTCAGCAGATCGAAACTACCAGCTGTTCCTTGGGAAAAAGATGAGGCTTTCTGCTCCCATAAAGATTTACAGCCTTGGAAACCCTATGCAGGGTTGCTTTGAGTTGGAACCAATTCCACGACATACCACCACCATCTGGTTTTTAATCTATTTCCTTATGCATAATTTTCTGGAGTTTAAAATACTCAATACTGAATTAAGTATTTACAGAGCTGTTATAAAAGTGTTATGAAGTGGCTTCCAACTCATAGCTACCCTGTACAGAGTAGTAAATCTTTTTAAAAGACAATGAAAAGGATGGTAATAAAAGTTCTTTACAACTTTTTAATTACCAAATAACTATTCATCCTCACACCATCCCTTTGAAATTTTACAGTTCCTCTTCTGCTACTTTTAATGTGCTATTTTTGCTTTTAGAAACTAACAAACAACAAATTTCCTCTTTCAGTACTAAAATTAGACTTAATGTTTAGAGTTTTTCTCCAAAATTGATATTATCCTGTAGAACTCCAGCTCAAAATTAGACTTAATGTTTAGAGTTTTTCTCCAAAATTGATATTATCCTGTAGAACTCCAGCTCAAACAAGCAATGGAGATACTACTGCGTCACCATGACTTTAAAACAAAACGAATTCACTCATTTTTAAAAAGTCTGGTGACCTCCTATGTTGTCATTTTTGTGTGCCATCAAATGGTTTCCAACTCATAGACCCTGTATAGGGTTTCCAAGAGCGCCTGGTGGGTTTGAATGGCTGATCATGTGATTATCCTACAGTGCCACACTGGGGCTCTTATAAGAAGGCATTATTTAAAATAAACAAAAATGATAAATTATAACATGCACTGTTTCTTTTGATATGATCTGTTGATACACAAACTCCATCTTTAAATCTCAAATATTTGCATAGTCATATACTAACAACAGCATTTTCTAACAAGGGTAGTAGTGGCCTTTTTGAGAATCATTCGTAGGTTGTCTGTCCATTTTAACACACTAGGTTTCTTTATCACCTGAGCAATGTCCGCTACATTGTGGTGTGAAGAAAAGTTCTGCTTTTGAAAAAACTGTTATGTGGTCACTTCCCCTTTGCCCTCCATGCAATCAAATGTGTGCGTTATCTCTATAAAATGGAGAGGACGTTGGACAACAACGTTGTCTGGTACATCTTCGTATGCTAAGAGCTTTGAGTTATTTTGACTTTTTGCCATTCCCACCCCCTTACCTCTGCTTTCTGTACTTTTTCTGATCTAGCATATGTAGTGTTGTAAACTGTTTCAGATCTTATTTGGAAGAAGGCGCAGTAGTAGAAATAAACACGCAGAAATAGGACGAGTAGTATTTTGTGAGTAGTAGTAAATAAATCAAACAATTTCCAGAAGGGAAAACAAAAGTGAGCCAGTTGCTTCCTGAGTTGATAAACGTGCCAAATCCTTTTGAACTGCTTACTTAGAGCTTTCTGGGAACTTGGACAAGCACTTTTATCATGTGAAATAAAAAACTGGAAGAAAACACCACCACACACAGAATACTTAGAATGATGTGAGTTTTCATTGATTGTATTCATGGCTATTATAAAAGTTCAAAAAATCTTGCAAGATTTAGGACAAGCCACTTTGAATTTAAACTTGCAAGAAAGAGATCTAGACCACCTGCTTCCGCATCCCCTGTGTCCCCTTGTGATATTATCCTCTCTTCCTTTATCCTGTTAAAATAGACTTTGGGAGACAATTTACTGATACACCATTTCCATTCTCTCGCGGTTCTAGGGTTTGACATTCAAAAGGGGGCTGGAGGCGCAGAACCTTAGCTCCGCGGTGAGTGTCCTTTAAAGCAGCCACCAGCCAGCGCCGCTCTAACCCCGCGCTCGGGCCGGTTGCTCCCGCCCGGTTCGATCTGCGCCGACGCGGCTGCCGGCTCCCGGGGACTCCCCGCGCCGGGAATCTCCCGCCAGCTGCGCGCGGCGTCCCCGCGACGGCAGGAGCACGTGGAGCTGCCCAGGAGCCAGAGTGGCAGCTGCAGCCCAGCCCAGCCCGGCGGCGACATGGAAGGTGAGCCTCCTGCCCGCTTCTTTTCGAAGGGGTCTTTGAAAAGCTTGGTCGGTGCACGCAACAGAGAGAGTTCCTTCTGAATCTCGGTTTTGCGTCTATTTATTTCTTTTGTCAAAAGTCATTATGAAATATTTCAGAGGGCAACACTTGTTGGTTCTCATACAGGTCTCATTTGTACTCCCCTATCCCTTCCCTAAATTTGGAAAGT